CGACCCTGTACAGGGTTTCCAAGGGTGTAAATCTTTACGGGAGTAGAAAGCCTCATCTTTCTCCCGCGGAGCGGCTGGTAGTTTCGAACTGCTGACAGTAAGGTTCGCAACCCAATTCGTAACCACTACGCTACCAGAGCTCCTTGTAGGTAGTGTGCTCATTGTAGGTAGTACAATTAAGTACAACTTAAAAAGATTTACAATTAAGCACTACCTACAATAAGTGCAATAAGGAATTTCAAGAGCTAGAGGTTTTGATAAATAAGATACAGCTGTTTGTACTATTCATTTTAAGACAAGGAGCCCAAAAGAAACATGAATGAATTTAAGTAAATTGAAAAGGCACCAGTGTAAAGTCATCTTCCTTTACAAATTGCCTATGGTGTGTCTAGCATGGATCAACCCAAACTGAATTATACTAGCTAAAATGTATTGAATTTCTACTAAGAGACAGACATTTAATACTAAACACTTCACATAATCTCATGCAGTTTTTACAACCCTGAAACATGTACTCTCATTATTCTTACTTTTTAGAAAAGGAAACTGAACTAACGTGCCTAGAATAAAAGGTTTAAAGCTTGACATTTGGCTGTAGAATTTATACCATTAACCACTAGGCTCTGACAGAATGAAAATCCCAAAGTTTCTGTGACTTGGTTCCTTCCTCTGAACTTGATTTCAATATTAAACTTCCTCTGAACTTGACTTCAATATTAAACTAAGTACTGGCTTTAATGAACTTTTAAAACCTTCTAGAAGTCCTGATGTGACACTGTAGGATATGCACTAAACTGCTAAGTTTAGGTCAAGAGTTCAGATCTACTAGCTGCTTCTTGGAAACCCTACACTGGGTCACTATGAGTCAGAACTGAACTGATGGCACTTAACAACAACAGGATCTATAAGACTGTGAATACAAATTAGAATCTCTTTCCTTCTTCTCAAGATGAAATTCAAGTTAACTTACCTAAAAATTCAAATCCTATTTACATTATGAATTACAAAAAAAGACCCTACGTTTTCTCAAGTGACAAGTACTATTACATAAACTAGCAGGATGTTTATACAATTATTACTGCTTTAAGGATTCTTGGTGGTGCTGTGGAGTAAACAATGAGCTGCTAATTCAAGGTCGGTGGTTCAAATCCACCAGCTGCTGCAAGAAAAAAGATGAGGTTAACTGCTCCCGTAAAGATTTACAGCCTCAGAACCCCTATGTAAAAGATCACTATGAGTAGAAAACAGCTGCATAGTAGCAGTTTTCTGGTTTGGGTATTATTGTTTTAAAAGTCACTACATGCCCTACTGAATAGCTATCATCTTGTCTAGATGGGTCTGGTGAAAGGAGATGTGGATAAGATTCAATAGTAAATAACTGTTATCATGACTAATTGCAACTGTCACACTTGTAAAGGTAGAAGTTTTGTAACAAAAAAAGGGGAGTGGTTAATCTTACAGTCTAGGAATGGAGGACCCTAGGACCATCAATAGAGAAGCGCACAAGCAGAGTGTGGGACCTTATCCAGAGAAGCAGCAGCACCAGAGATGGAGGCAGAGATGGGGGCATGGAGAGGGGAAGCAGCTGAGGACTCTAGATTCATCAACTAAGAAGAGAAGGACTAAGAACTGGTGGCCAGGAGCAGACTTGCAGAATGTGCCCTTTGGAGATGTAAATTATTATATATGCCTGAGTGGGTTTTTTGTTTGTGTGTTTTTTTAAAAAGCTAAAGTGGATAGAGAGAAATAATGTTAACTGATGGTATGTGGAGGGGATTATAATCATTGTAATGAAATAAGGTATATATGAATTGTTGAATGTGAAACTGATGATGTGCCCTGTAAACTTTCACTCAATCCACAATAAAAACCTAAAATTTAAAAAAAAAAGAAAGAAAAAAAAGTCACTACATGGTACAAAGATGAGGCTTTCTGCTCCCGTAAAGATTTGCAGCCTCGGAAACCCTGTGCAGGGTCACTATACTTAACAACAACAATCACATGGTGCAAATGATTAATTACCAGCCAAAAGGGTAGCAGTTTGAACCCACTCAGAGAAGCCTCAGAAGGTCGGCTGGGTGATTTGCTTCCAAAAGGTCACAGTCTTGAAAACCTTATGCCCTCTGCACATATTGGGAATCCACTAAATAGCGAGTAACAGCATACAGCAATTACTGCTTGAAACTTTTGCTTCTAAGTAATATGTAACTTTTGGTATCCAAGATGGCTACTAACTCAGCCATATGATCCAGAAATGTGAGGAGAACTAAGCAACAATCAATCAGTCACAAAAAATTCCTAGATCATCATGAACTGACTAGATCACAGGAACAATCACATTCAGCTAAATCCACAGCCGAGAAAGAAAAACCAATGTTTAAAATCTCATGAAAAAAATAAGCACATGGTTTAACTAATAGGTTAAACAATGAGACATAGCAAAAGACCCACTCATTGAATGTTAACTCTTATCTATATATCTAATTTTCTGTCTGATTTAATGTTGAATCATTTACACAGATAAATGATAATAACACTAATAATAAGTACAAAAATAGGAAGCTAGTCTCCTAGAGGCTCTGACCCCCTAAAACAGGAGGAAGGGCAAACTACAGCTGTACTGAATGTAGTGAGAATGTCATCTGAAGGACTAAGCAACTGACTTAACAAGAACTATGCTACTGACTTTAAAGACTAAGAAAATCCCTTTCAGGAACTTGCTCAAAAACACTATTTTATATTGATACCTTTAATCAGACAGGAGGTGCAGACCAGGTATAACAGGTAGTCAAGAAGTATCTTTACTACTTTATTTTAGAATCTGACTTTTTTTCCTCATCAAGTCTTTGGACTTAAAAACCATCCCCACCTAACAACTGGCTTTATCTCTGTAATTAAGCCCATTAATTAAATTATGTAGGCCACAAATGAGACAAGTTAAAAAGCACAAAGCCTAAAATCTGAATGTGTAGATGTAGGAACAAATTATGCATTAAAACCAGGGAAACTTATATTCAACTGATCTTGACATCATCACATTTAAAAATATAAATGCAGTCAGTAAATATTTACAGGAGCACTTATACTGAGCCAAGCACTGTAGTTACTAGGCATTCAAAGACAATAAAAGGACATATCAAATTTGGTTAAAGCATCATGTCAATTCACATCAGACAAAAAAATTTTTCCAAAAGATGTCATTTTGGCAAGAAATGCTATGTAATTTATCCAAATAAATTTTATACTTTAATATTTTCCATTAGAAAATTTGTATACTGCTATAAACCAAATAAAAACAGTTCTAAACATAGTCAATTACCAACATGGTAAAAATTTTATATATGTAGCTATAGCTTATATATGGACAACAATGAATTTGTGTGTATGTGTGTGTGTTTTTAAGCAGATAGTACAGTAACTCAAAAGAGTCCTTGTAGCTCAGCTGCTAGGCAAAAAGTTTTGGCAGTTCAAACCCATGGCTGCCCCGCAGAGAAAGATGTGGCAGTCTGCTTCTGTAAGAATCACAGTCTTGAAAACGCTATGGGGCACACTTCTACACAGTCCTATAGGGTTACTAACTTAAAACTGACTCATTGGCAACAGGGACTTCCATTGCCTTTTTATGCATGAGCCAGCAAGCTCAAACTAAACTTTATAGTTAAGTTTAAATGCTACAGGCTGCAACACCTGAAAATGTTAATATGTATTCTCTCTTACATTGTTTCACACGGGCTTAAAAAAAAAAAGCAAAATTACTTACCGGCTCTGTTCTTTCCTTTGTTTTATTAACTGAATGAGTTCCTTGTCGAAATAATCTTCTTCCTCTTCCTCTCCCTTTCCATCATCTTCTCTTTCCTGAGCATCCACATTATCTTTGTGCAGCTGACCAGAAATGTGTTTTGCATATGCAGAGAGACCCACTTCTGTGACCCCACACACTCGACACTCATGACTACTGTCCCTAGGGAAAGAGGGAGATGAGGGACATTCAATTCTCCCCACTGGCATGGTACACTCACCAGATCTTTTATAGTTTCCTCTGAAAGACAATGCAAGTTTTGGCACAGTGAAAAATTCGTGCTATTCAGTTGTTAATACTCCTTTCATCACTTTTAGTAAGTTTGCTCATAAATTAACTTTTCAAATAAATTTAAGATTCTTTTCCAGCAATCAAGAGGCAATACACTTCAGAATGACATAGTTTAGGAGGGAAAATCTTCTTGAACTGCTGTACTTAAAACCTTGCCAGAGGAAACATGGTGAAAGGGGAGGCAGGCTGGGGGCTCAGAGCAAACAGACGTTGCTCTGGAGCACACCCATGATGCCAGCTGCACTCAGAAAGCTTGGTGACAGCGCTAACATTTCATCTCTGGCTCAAGAGCTTTCTCCCAGTGACAGTGAAGGGGTGGAGAGAAGAATAGGCAGCAGAGCCAATCCCAACTGGGGAACTAAATCAGAACAGCTGGAGCTGGGCCTGGAATGCGAAGATTCTGGACCCTAAGGCAAATGATAGGAGCAGTCTCAGCAAACTTTTTTGGTTTGGATGATGCATGTGGTCTACGTTCTGCTTCACAAGGGTTTATTTTAAAAGGAATGGAAAACATTTCAGTTATAGGAAGTTAACAGCTGTGCTAAGCAAATGCTTTTTCTCAAGTTTCAGAGAGAAGCAAAACTAGACTTTCCATTAAGGAAGAAATTTGGGCAGATTTTTAATCTTGCTTTACACATTCAATGGTAAATTTCATGCTTGGACAGTTTAAGGATCTGAAGTCTTGGATCTATGTTCAACGATATATCAAATCAATCATTTAATTGGCTTTTAGCTTCCTGAAATCCTTGATTGGTTCAGCTGTTTATACAGTTAATTTAAGAAACGTCTAAATACCACAGCCACAGGACAGTAACATCCATTCAATAATCCAAATCTGCTTAACTCTGTATCATGTGTCTTGGGTTTATACTAGTGATATTTTGCATTTCCTGTATCTATCAAAAAAAAAAAATCAACACACAAAAACATGCTTTGGCAAGCTACATGGGCTCATGCACATATGCAGACTATACTCCATCTTTACATATACCTACCAACCGATACACAGATTCTATTGATGTTGCTACTCATTATGGAACTATGTAGATTTTAACATTAATTTTAATGAACTCTAATTAGGTTGCTTGAAAACATCACTCATTACCTTATTACCCTGAGTCTTCCACTGTACTTTCTGTATTTAAATACATTTATTATTTAAAGAATAATCCTCAAGCTTAGCCCTCACCATTTTCTCCAGTTTACCAAAGATAACTAACTATACTATCTAAGCAATTAAATTTATGATCGTTCATTCAAAGTGAAGGTTAACTTGCACATGCTTTATCTAACAGCAATTTAACAATATAGCAAACCTAGAACAAATATAAATTAGACAATATTAAAAAGTATTACAGAATGCTATACTGCAGTAACAGGGAAATGATTATATTGGGTAGTTTATTAAAATTTCTTAAATGTATTTTAAAATTAAATTCCTGATTTAATTTTTAAATGTAGAAAATTTATTGCCAACCAAGAACCATATGTCCAGCAAAGCTGTTCCTCAGATAGGATAGCAAAATTAGGGCATTTCCTGATAAAAAGAAATTAAAAGAACAACTTTGCAAAGAATGCTAAAGGGGTTTCTTTGGACTGAGAACCAACAACAGCAGACAACTTGAGATTACCATACACGGCAATATCACCCAGAACTCAATTCGGATATTGTTGTTGTTATTAAGTGCCGCTGACTTGGTTCCAACTCATAGAGACACTGTATAGGGTTTCCAAGCAGAGGCTGGTGATATAGAAGTATTTAATGTAAAACAAACCTACAAGAATGAAAATTGGGAGGCAGAGGTATCAATGTACAATGAAGTCAACTACAAAACAAAAAGAGTGAATAGTGCAGATAAAGAACTTCCAAATGGCAAGGAAGTCAAGTAAATTTCAAGACAAAACAGACAGTTTTAAGTGTGTGTGTGGGGGGAATCAATAAATTACAGGGTAACCTCAAAGAAAAATAATACACCTACACATCAAATATAGAGGATAATCAGAAAGATTTAGTAAATACTGGCACTGTAGGCTAATGAGTTGGACTGCAAAGTCAGTTTGAACTGCAAAGTCGGTTTGAACTGAAAGGTGAGTGGTTCAAAACTTGCCAGCCGTTCCTTAAAAACCCTATACAGGGTTGCTATGAGTTGGAACTGACTCAACAGCACTTAAAAACAACACAACAGAAATGAAAATGATAAAAAAAAATGAACTCAGCACAGAAAATTATGTGGAACAAAGAATCTAGCAACACCACACACAAAAAACCCAGAAAAATGACAGCCATCAATTCACATCCATTGATAATTACACTGAATGCAAATAGACTGAAATGTCAAGAAGCAAAAGGAGCAGAGTGGATAAGAAAACAGGATTCTTCAATATGCTGTCTACAAAAGACATAATAAAAAGATGGAGTCAGTCTAAATGTCCATCAACAGAAGAATGGTTAAACAAACTTTGGTACATGCACACAAGGGAATACTACAAAATGTCAAATAGTGAAAATCTGTGGAACACCTGCCTCACAATATTGTTGAATCTAGAGGGCACTGCGCTGAGTGAAATTAATCAATCACAAAAGAACAAACATCATATGAGACCAATGTTAAAAAAAAAAAAGGTTTTCTTGATAAAAGATACAATCTATGATGGTTGGTGAGGGGCAGTTGTGAAGGGAAAACTATTCATGGCCTAGAGGGTAGACACCTATTAACATGGGAGACAGGAAAGGCAATATACAACAAGAGCCAGGTTAGCCAGGAGTCAGAGGCATGAAGGAGTGCAATAGTTAAAGTGAATAGAGAGGTAAATGCTGTTAACTGTTGGTACATGGAGGGGATTGCAACCATGTAGTGAAGCAAAGTGTATGGTCTGTTGAATGTAAAACTGATGATCTGCTCTGTAAACTTAGTGCCCAATAAAAAGCTTAAAAAAAAAAAAGTAGAAAATTTTTCTAATGTGAAAGCCATCAAGATGGCACATATACTAAATATGTGCTATTAAACTTTTAGCATCTCTTTATCATTTAGTAGAATTTAGTCTTCAATCTTAGTAATTCAGTCTTCCATTAAGTCAATTCTACTCCTTTGCTCTTTTAATGCATTATCTATTTATAAAATCTTAGTAAAACTGTTGTGGATTTCTATTGCTGTTTTTATATGGTTTCTAATTTTTCATTTATTTTGTCAGTTTGTTCATGACTTCTAAAGATTTTCCTATGTTTTCTTCCTTAATTTCATCTGCAGCTTTCTTGATCTTTCTCTCAATCTATTAAAGGTAACTAAACATTATTTTTAAAAAGCCCTTATCAGGTAATTCAAATGCCATTTCTTCCTCAGAATATTTCTGGCTCTGCATTTTGGTCACTTGTTTGAATCACTCATCTTGTTTCTTTGTGTTAACTGAAATTGTCTGGTGTCTCAGAGGCTCTGAGGTATTGTATTTGTATTTAATTGGTGATTATATTTATGGTTCTTAGATACTCACCACCTGTCTCTTGGTAAGTAGAAATTTTAGATACTTAAGATAACCTGCATAATCAGGAATTGACTGTACTTCCGGAGTTTACATTGTGAATGAGTTAGAGATCATATGTATATGTGATAAAGGCTTTCAACATTAAACCTGAGTGAAAATCTCCTTCATACTGCTGCTAAAACCTAATCTTATTATAGTAAGGGACTGAAAGTCTAATAAAATTCTACTAAAATTATAAAGACAAGCTAAAAGTTTAATAACATGCATTCAATTGACCATACACTCTAAAATGGTATGACTCAAAATACAAAACATTTCATTTGACATAGGTTGGCTTTTGTCTTTAGTGTTGCTATAACAGAATTACTATAAATGGGTGGCTTTAATAATCAGAAAATTATTTTCTCAATTTGTTGTTGTTAAGTGCCATCATGTTAGTTCTGACCCACATTGACCCTGTACAGGGTTTCCAAGGAGTGACTGGTGATTTTGAACTGCCAACCATGTGGTTCAAACTGACTTTGCAGTCCAGCACACCACAAGCTCTCATAGTTTTGAAAGCAAAATGTGCAAATTCAAGCCACTGGTTCTAGGGGAAGGCTTTTTCTCTGTGTTGGTTTTTGGAGAAGGTTCTTTTCTCTTCATCTTCTATTCCTTGGCTTCCTGATGATCTTCATGTGGCATGGTGTCTCTCTCCCTGCATGCCTAATTCCTCCCTTGCTTGTTTTATATCTCAAAAGAGACTGACTCAAGACACACCCTACACTAATTCTGTATCATTAACATAACAAAGAAAACCCATTCCCAAATGGGAGGATATGCACAGGCACAGAAATGAGGAATTATAATACATACTTTTGGGGGCTAATCCATAACACCATGTTAATCAAAAACTATTATTCATGAAATCAGATATAATTCATATTTCCCAGTTTTCCAAAGTTCCCCAGCCTCATCCTGCCTCTAAACATCAAATTCACAGTTAAAAACATCAAAAGAGAAACTAAAGATAGGAAAAAAACATGAACTACACATACATATATTTCATTTTAAGAACTTAGATATTAGATTTTGTCTTTAAATACCTTAAGTTTTAAATCATAACACAGCATTCTTAAATATACTTAAAAGAGTTACACTTAGGATTTTGTTTACACTAATGATATTTAGTACTATTTAGCAGACTTTGGATTTCTATAAATATCTCAGTAACACTAAAGGTTTAAGGCATACAATAACCTATAGCACAGCTGAGATGAAAATATGAAAAGTCCTAACTACAGGGTTCTTGTGTAAGAATGAGAAAACATAATACCAAGAGAGCTAGTTCATCCCACCTTGCTGGAAGGTCTGTGAATTCTATACATTTGAGGAACATAAAAATCTTAGGGACTATCCCTTTTGAATGCTAAACATCTACTGTACATTTTATTAATTCTGAAAGATAGTTCTATGCCATAAATTAACCTCCGACTCCACAGCACATAACCACCATAACCACCACTATAAAATAAGCTGAGAGGTATCATCAGGACTCAGGTTCCCCATCAACCCCATGCACAGATTTAAAGACAGCTGTTCCCATACCTGCCCTTCAGGTTCTCAAGTTCCCTGTGATGCAACATGCTCCGCATGTGTTCATCCATCTCCTTTAAAATGAAAGAAAGCAGATTAAACTGAGGGGGATTGCTCTGAAAACCTATTCCACTATTTCTATTCAATGGACAATCAGGGTTCAAGCTATGTCAAAAGTGCCTTTTACAATTATTCTTCTCAATTCATATTCAAATCAGTTCCTC